TCTCACAAATTTAATCCATGCCCCCATAACATTCCACATAATTTAAAATTCGCTTTTTAAAACAATAAATAAAATGTTTCCTGCTTCGTTAAAAAGTAAGATACGTGAGGCAACTTTATTTTTTACAGCGTTATGTGACATTTTATTTAGAAGCTGACTACTCGTGTCCTTATTTTGAATTGTTTGTTTCCATTGACATTAATCGTCATCACGTTGAACACGTAATTAACATCGAACGTAGCAGGATGCTGTACTACAGAAGGAAAGGCTATTCAGACATATTTGGGTTGCCAGGTTTCGTGGGTAAGGACGTCTTTTACGGTTAAAATAGTATAATTCAATCCAAACATATTATCCATCGTAAATCGCTTCAGAAACTAATTCCGGGGTATCCTGTTTGTATCTATTGACCAAATCCTGCTCACGAAGGTGATTCTGAATATCTCATTGGCTTATTTTTACTGCAATTACTACTTTTTTTAAATTAGCACATTACATTGGTTATACAAACTCATATTTTATTTACTCAAAGAGAAGCTTCGTTATTCCTCATTTGCACTGAATTAAATTCATTGTGATATAAATATTTGTATAAAGCTGAAGAATTCGAGAATTGATGTAGCCTTCGATTAGCCAACTATGCGAATCCGGTCTGCAGTCTGATCTGAATGAAAATTTATGTGACTTTTTGGTCCTGTCATTTCGTTATTAAGTGTCGCTAAATAAATCAGAGCTTTACATTCTAGATCGAGTAGAAACTCTGCTCATATCTTGGTTGTGTCGCAACAGCAGGAGAGTCGGACTGTCCTCACAGTAATTTAGTATTCTCATCTCGTATGTCACCGTGGGTTTTCGTAAGTCTGGACACAGATTTCCCTCCCCCCCCCCTCTTTTTGTATTGCGTGAGATGCAACTATGAATTTAAAACTGCTTAAACAAATGACGTTTGGGATGAATGTTTATCTTGTGGTATCTTACACTCGGAGTTTTTTGTATACACAGCCAGCACCCACGTGTAGTTAAAATTGGTGCTTAGGAAGCTGTACTTTGTTAGCAAACACTCTTCAGCGCCAAGATGAGTAAGGACGAAAGTCATATTTAACTTTCGAAACAAATAGATCGAATACGCGGAGGAGTCAGAGTTTATAGACTGGCAGATTATTAAGACCTGAGTGTCAGCAAAACTCATTGCAACATTATTCATATAACTGCCCAGGATTAATTAAGGCCCTTACGAAAGGAATTAAAAATAGTCATCATCATCATCACAGTCTGTTTCTGAAAGAAGGATGTTACCATTCCCTTCCAACTCAACTTTGTCCTTCCTATTTATCTTACCAGTAGTATCTGCAACTGTGTCCATTTCATCAGAGCCGTATTGCGTATGGAAGCAGCTAGTTGTGTAGGCATGCATCCACACACACAAAGACGCCTTTTCCCTCATAGGGTTAATAACAGCCTCAGTGATGCTGTGTCGGATGTTCAGACATCTTGATTTCAATTTCCGGTTCTAATGACGGAGGTAGAGGCTTGGATAAGTATGCTGACGGACTGTATCCGGTAGAACTGAATGCCGAACCATCCATTATTATTATTATTATTATTAATTGCTTTGAAATGCTTCGTACTTAAATCTTAACAGCTTGCCTTACATTGACCGGGAAGGACGAGGCAGGATCAAAAGTATATAATCGGCCATAGTTTTTAACTAGCCCATCGATGCAGTTTCTTCCATGGAAATCGTAAATTTACTCAACTGGTCAAGACATTCCCTTTTTTATGCAAAACCTAAGATTCATTATTTAGTGACGTGTCCTCCACATAGCCTTATTCTGTATCAGTTGGATCCTGTCAGGGTTTTTAAGATTCATTTGTATAAATTCTTTCGATCTACGCCAAGTTCATTCA